AACAATTTTGCCACAAATAGCAAAGTCCTTGGCGCAAGTCGTCAGTGTAGATTTGTGTATTCAGATCTTGTTGAGTGAATTGATGCTCTTTCTTCTCATAAGGCCCCTTAAGGGAGTTGTTTTGTTGTGATTGTCAACAGCAGTGGCAAATGCTGTCACTTTCATAGCTCTTCTAGCTAATCTTTTTGACCTGCATTTATTGAGGGATTAAAGTCTATGAAGCTACCAGGAGAGTATTTCGTATTTCTGCTAGATGCTCCTTTTTCTCTTGTTGGGGGGCGGGGGGGAATATATTATTTAACACTTTGAGATGGCAGTTTCCTGGTTTGTCAGGGGAATTGGTTATCTTCCAATTATTCCAACTCCATCTGCTGGTTCTTGCTTTCTGTTCTTGAGGTCCAACACCATTCAAAGAAATTAGTCTTTTACCCTGAAGGCAGTGAAGTCTTGCAAGACAGACAGTGTATTTAGCCTTTAGGGAAAGAAAGTAACATGGAGAAGATGCAGAGTAGGATCCTCTTAGGCTGCAAGAAGTTTTGATGCAATGCATTGGATTCTTAAACAGCAGGGGAAGAGAAATAGCTGTACTCAATAACGAAATCTGAATCTGGATTTTTCAGTAATTTTGAAATTACTGAACTTCTCATGCCATTAGTGAATATTTTCCACACATATGGTATCCATGAGTGAACACCAAGTAGATCAAAAAAATCATATTCCAAAACCCACATTTTGCTTTTCTGATGTAATTGTTCACTTCTGATCTTTCTGATGACAAATAGTGTAAATATGAGATATAGTTAAATCATGATTCAGCTTCCATGCTGAAATTTAGGTGAGGTTAAGTGGCCTTCCTCCTTAGCTTTATGGATACCATAGTTTTGGTTTGTGTTGCTTTATAATAAACTGTCGCAATTCGTTTTGATTTTTCTTTTGTTTCTTTTGTTTTAGATGTTTAGTGCATTCCAATTAACATGCTTAGTAATGGAGAAGCTGCAGATTCAATATATTTTTGAGGGGTGGGAACAGATCTTGAATAAATTACTCTGGTTTCATTCAAATGCAGATGAAATCGTTCTCTACAGTGCTTATTCTGTTGATGTATGAACTGTTCTGTAGCTCCAAATTGGGGTATGGTGGAGCTGTATGAATCTAGAACATTATAGATGCAACTAATGTCAGATATATACTTTACATATAATTTGACAGATTTAAAATAAATGGATGAAGGTTTTGAGGACAGATCAGACTGTCCCTTAAATTTTTGTGAAAGTGAAATGAGGTAATTTAATTTCCCTTATCATGGGGAAGAGAATCCTTTGGCCCTTCAAGATTTGTTTAAGGTGGAAGAATTATTCCTCTTCCATTTGTCTCCTAGCAGATGCTTTTGCAGACAGAATTGCTATCCTGATGTATCAGAATAGCAATCTCTCCTTCCTTCTACCCTTTCCCTTCCATTTTAATTTTTTGCTGTCAATAGCATGGATTATTAAAATGGAAAGGGTGTGGGTATGTTAAAATGGAATACTTTTGTTTTATTTGCTGCTTGTGAACCCATTTGAGAAATTTAATGCTAATCTGTGCTTTGCCTTGGCTTTCTGCTTTGTGTTGTCTTGTCCTGCTTTTGTGTTTTTGTTTTGTCCTGCAAACCCCCATTTCTTTGTTTGTTCGTGTGTTATTTTTATTTTTCCTTCATGCTTGTCGTTGTCTGCACTTGGCTTTGATTGCAAAAAAAAAAAAAACAAAAAAAACCAATACAAACAAACCAACCAAACACACTGTGGGGCCCATAAATCTACATCATTGAATATCCCTGTCGCCGTTGATGACCTGCTCTCTGCTCCCGCCCCCTCCTTGGCCTGCTGTGATTGGTGGCTCCGTTGCTTGGCTTGGGCTGTGTTGTGTGGACGGAACAGTTCACCCAAATATGGCCTTCTTGCTGACAGGTATCATTTCTGTGAGAAGTGCTTCAACGAAATCCAAGGGGACAGCGTTTCTCTGGGGGATGACCCATCACAACCTCAAACGTGAGTAGCCATATGTCTGTCTGGGACAAACATTTACATATAAAATATTGCTGTTTTTGTGGAAGTTTAACCTACAGCATCTCAAGGGTAGGAAATATCTAGCTAATAAAGGCATTAGCTTTAATATAATTTATATCTGCTAGTACTGAAGGGGGAGTACTTCCTTAAAAACAAGGATTCGTGTTCGAAGTGGTATGTGGGGGTATCCCTTTTTTTCAAAGGTGTGTGCTGAACAGTGTTAACAAGGAGTGAGCATCGCTTCCAGTAAACTTTTTAAGGAACTTTTAGGAAAAGATCTTACTAAATAGAGCTGAGGAAATGTCTTGCTACAGGAAGTAACATTATTGGGGATAATGTGCATAACAGGCATCCTTCTAAATATCTGTTCGACCTATAACTTTGTGCCTAGCAAGCTTTCTCTTCCCCACCACTCCTAATGGTCTTATTAAAATCAACAATGTTTTTAGTTCTGATTTTTAAGATCCTTTTTTAATCAAAACACCATCTTATAGGAGATGTTTTAGACTTGTTAAGCTGACCTGGAGAGGTAGATGTAGAATTGGCTCTGTTGTAATGGTGGGGTGGAAGCTGTTAGATGTTAGCTATTAATATATTAGATGGATATTGGACTCTTGGGGTATCCCCAGATATGAAAAAGAAGGAACTGAGGAAAGCCTTGAAGCCAGGTGGTGAGTGAAAACTGGCAGGCAGAAAGAGTATGAGATGATGTATTGAAAGGAAAAGATTGCCTACAGCAGCAAGTAAATGGTTGAATTCTGATCTTGGTGATGGTTTTGTCACTATTTAAAATAGCTGGAGGAGAGGCATG